TATGTGTACGTTATCAGCTAACGTGTATGGTATGCACGTGCGTGACTGTCTTAGGGAAAAGTAGACCTCCGTGGTCGCGGCTTTTCAGGACAAGATGGGCTACACCAAGTCTAGGATGTGTTTGGCTTCTGCGTTTTTCGTTACAGCCTTCGCGGTCCTCTCCTATCCGGGAGCTTGAGGAAGTTTTCTTACTGTTTTTCAAAANGTTCTATTGGTTTTTATTCTTCTTTTGGTCGTTCGTAGCCTCTGTGTCGTTGTGCTGCTCCGCCTTGGTGGGGTCAGGAGGTGTCCCGGGCCGTCTCGGACTTGTCCGTGTGGCGGGGTCGGACCCCCACCCCTGTATTTTTTTTTGGGGGTGCCAGGCGCGCCATCTGGTGTTTGCCGTTGTGATTTGTGTTTTCTACATGTGCTGGTGGTGGTTGCGCTTTTGTTTGCGGGCATGTGCTTCCCATGGGGTGGTGTGTTTCTTTTCTTTACTGGTCAGGTGTTGGAGAAGTGGAGGCGAACCGGCGTTGTGAGGAGAAAAAAAATAATAATAATAAGGATAAATAAAGAGGTAATATGTGTGTGTGAGAGTAATTGTGTGTTGATTCTGTTTGTAAAGATTGACATGGTTCAGTAGAAAAACAAATTGAAAACAAATGTTAATTGACAGCGTTGCGTGAAATCTCAATATACAAAGTTTAATATAAAAAAAGCATCTCACTTAGATTTTATACACATATACACAGGCTACGTGGTTGGGTTTGTTTACATGTAATTCAAATCAATTCTTTTTTTTCTTATACATCACATCTCTCCTCACTTAACTTGATAATTGGAAGGAAAGGTTATTTTCGAAATATCTTTCAGTTAACACCACTGCTGCCCATGAGGGGTGAATGGGGGAAAGAGGGATTATTTGCCACCAGTGTAGAATACAAAAATTAATTTAAAAAAATCACGAGAGTCTGATTAGCGGAGATGTATTTCTTTCCTTTTTACTTTCTCTACGAATAACAACAGCATCAATGAGAAAGGTTACCCGAGTGAAGTAGAAAATTAAAGTTTTTTTTTTTTTTCAGAAGTATAGAGTACCAAAAAGAATACCCAAGGTACCAAGACAAAGAAAAGAGCTGCTCCTGTTATTGATGGTGGTGGTGCAAAGTGATCAAAGCACTTTTTTTTTGTTTGTTTTTTTCTCTTTAGGAAACCGTTTATGCATATTATGCGTATATACAGTTGAGATATCTCTTACATGCGTTTTTTCGGAAGGTGTGCCACATCAAAGTGTGCACTACTCGGGTCCGCACAGGGATCTCGCAACTCTTTAAAATTCTTCTGCCGTCTCTCTTCCTCCAGCCGGAGTTGTTCTCCCAGTCTCTGTTGCTGTCGCGATGTGCTTTTCATGTTACTTACCATGATGTCCAACATGCGGTGAATATCAGCTGCCCCTTCTCTTTTTGTCGTCTCGCGTTTTTTGTACCATCTCTCTGTCCACTTTTTCCACAAGAGAGTAACATAGGAAGCCACAGCAGATCCCTTACAGAGTTGACTATTCAAAATACGTTTTGTACGTAAATTTGTTGCCACTCTCTGAAACAAAAGACGTGTAGCTCTTCTATTTCTCCTTTCCTCCTCCGATCGTAAGTGTCGAATAACTGAAGCCATCCATGGTGCCATTGGTTGTCCACTTTGCAAAGACTTTGCGGTTTTTGCGTATGGTAGGATATTATAGTTAAAAAATCT